GGTGGCCTAGGTGGGGGAGGTGGCTCGGGAGGGGCTGGACCCTCGGGGATCCGGCTGTGGAGACCCGTCTAGTCCCGAGGCGGACCCAGCTCCAATCAGAAGCCTGACGCTGGGCGTAACTTTGGCCAGCCGGTGCCGCTGCGGGCCTCGGTGTCCCCGCCGTGTGTTCAGTGTCCCAAATCCTTAGACCTGGTGGGCGGGGTGGGGGGGATCAGAGGAGTCGGATTTAACTCCTCCCCAAACTCACCCCCACCTTTGGAAGGCTCCTCACCCCTGGAGGTCTCCTTTGTGGCCTAACCTTCGACCTTCTGTCAGCCTGTGACAGGTGGTCCTACCCTTGGGCAAGTTCTCCCAGCCCTCAGAGCCGGCTGATCCATCTGTGCTGTGTCCCGGGGAAACTGCGACCTACGGCAGCGGCTGGTCAGTCCCTCACTTTGGAACAGAGTAAATTTGTAGACAGGAAAAACAAGAGTCTGAGAGAGAACGGCCAGGCTTTTCCAGGAGGCAAAGCAAAGGTCTGGAGAGGCTCTCGCGGTGGATTGGTGGGGTGGCAAGGGGACTGTAGCAAGGACCTAGACGCGCATCTGAGTAGGGCAGTGGAAGGCCGGGCTCTTTTGGATCTCTCAGAACTTGAACGAGAGGAAGAGAGAATCAAAGGAGGGGTGAGGTGCACCTTTTAGAAGGGATTCCCCCAGTCTCTGAATGGAGGTTGTGCTGAATCCTGCTGTGCACCCCAGTGCTGAAGGGCCTCTCCTCTACCCACCATACCGGACAGTCTGCCCCATGACGGCAGCTCTGCAGAGCAGAGACCCAGGCAGCGGCTCCTTTCCAAGTAGGCAAGCAAGGCCCTGAGGGAGGTGAGGCTGCGGGCATCCAGTCTGGCCCCAGAAAGACAAGGGAGGGAGCAACAACTCCCAGCTTCTTCTGGAAGACTCATAGAGCCCCCTAGGGGACGAGGCAGGACAATACAGTGAGAATTTTAAGACGCAGAGACCGCAGTTTCTTTTAGCACCTCACTTTGCGTGTATGCCTGTGTGATACTGGGGGTTGCGTTCACAACCTTTGCACCGAGCTATGGTCTCAGGTTTTATTTATTTATTTATTCGTTTATTTATTTGTATTAAGACAGGATCCCAAAAAATTAACTTATCCATCAGGACTGGTCTCAAGGCTTCAACCCTCCTGGCTCAGCCTCCCAGAGTGCTGGAATTACATTTTTGGTACTAGGAATTAAACTCATGACGTTGCACTTGCCAGGCAGGCACTGAACCGCTGAGCTATATCCCCAGCCCTGTGACTATACTTTTATTTTTTTCCATAATTTTATTGATAAATAGCAATGAGATACTTTCACATCAAATTGGTAGGACAATTTCAATAATTAACACATTGCATACATTCCTCCCAGTGGTTAATTGCTGTACAAGATGCAGGCATAATATCCTATCTACAAGCACCATTAGAACAAATTGCTCTATTCATTAAGAGAATGTAACTATATATCTATCCTAACCACTTTGAATACACAGATACAAAATGGACATTCATCTGTATGCCCTTTTTTGTTAAGTTCCATTATTTGAATATTATAGGTGTGTTAACTCAGCAAAATAATCTAAAAGAGTTCAGTAGTCCATAATAGTATTGGGTCTTCCGCTTCACTGGCAATGTCAGAAATTGTTGACCTGAGTCCCCTACAGCTCAACATAACACCATGGCTTTACTTCTTCTTCTTTTTTTTTTTTTTTTTTTTTTGTGGTGGAACTGGGGATTGAACTCAGGCCCTTGCGCTTGCTGGGGAAGCACTTATTCCACTGAGCCATCTCCCCAGCCCTACTTCTTATATTTTGTTTTTATACTTTTCTGCCGGGTGGTTAAGACCAAGGTAAAGCATGACCTATGCAACAAGAGTTGTAGCTTTTGGGTCTGAGAAGGTCAGTGAAATCCCCTCAGGATTTATCCTGAGATCCTGTACCTCAGATTGTTTGTCAGTGTCAGCCATGTGGATGAGTCATGACCATTGCTTGGCCAATGTGCTCTCTGTGGAAGCCTGAGAGAATGTTTTCTCTCCATATGACTCTCCTTAGGCACACTCTACATCATCGATCACTTTCCTCTTTGGCCCCATAATCTCCTTGATCAGAAAATTTGGGACACTACCGAGTTACATGACGTTACAGTACAAGTTCTCATATGTCCTGAGTCTTAATTGATCTTGGAAGCCTAGGGCCAAAATGTTGGCTTTCCTTGAAGCCCTCCTTTTCATCTAATTTTGGTCTGCAAACTTAGGTTGTTAACCATCCAGAAGACAAGCTTATTGTTATTACCATACAACTTAGGCTGTTAAACTTAACCTCACTATCTGTCTGCATATCAAACATTTTAGGCATAATATGGAACAGGTATTTTTCTTTTCTTTTTTTTAAAATTAAACATTTATTTATTTATTTATTTATTGTGTGTGTGTGTGTGTGTGTGTGTGTGTGTGGCCAGCTCAGCCCACCAGGGGTTGAGGCTGGCTGGCATGTGGTGCTGGGAGATCGAACCATGGTCCCTGTGCTTTGCCAAGCTTGTTCCAAGTAGGTGCTTTAGACCACTGAGCCATCTCGCCAGCCCCGGAACAGGTATTTTTCATCAAGTATTGATATGTTGAACTTTAAGTCCCTACAGAATATGATAAAAAAATTTAAAAATTAGAATATATTTTAAAAATAGGCATAGAATTATATACTTCTTATGTTTAAACATAAGTCCAAAAATCTCACCATATACAACCTTGAAGCAGGACAGTCCCACAATATTCCTTTTCCTGTCTTTTGCTTTCATTCACCACCCCTTTCTTTTTGAATAACCATCTACCTGAGAGACTTCATAGCAGCAACTGGCCTGTCTGTGACTATACTTTTAAAAGGTAAGCTTTGCCTCAGCTTTTTAAATTGTTCTTTCTTTTGTGTGTGCTTTTTTTTTTTTTTTTTGAGACAGGGTCTCATTCTATAATTCAAGCTGGATTGAAGTTACTATGTAGCCCAGGGTGGCGTTAAACTCATGGCAATCCTTCTATCTCATCCTGCCAGGATTACAGGTATGTTACCATGCCCAGGCTGTGTGCCTCACTGTATTTATTTATTTAGTTGTTACAGGGTCTCAAAGCCTGGCAGGATGGTTCCACTTGGCCGTGGGAACCAGGCGAGCATGAATTACACAAGCAAAAGAGTGGGGCTAGAGCACGCCTGGTACCTCTGAAAAGGAGGCTGTGGCCCACACTTTCCACACATGTCTCACAGGCTGGTCAGAAGGTGTAAGTGTAAGAACATAGGAGTGTGTGGGACTTTGGTGAACAATGTGTGTGGTTGGGAAGAGTTTTGCTACCTATCCCTGTATGTCCTCCCTCCCTTTCTTAGAGGGACCCATGCTCCTCACTTCGAGACCAAGCCCCTTCTCTCAGATGATTTTGCTCTTGGTGATTTCCCGGTGTGAGACAGCCTCCTCCAGTACACCAGATCTTACAGAAGAAGTGAAAGAAGTCAGGGTTTCTCCCTGCCCCGCTGTAGTATGGCCATAGCAAAGTCACCAAGAGAGAAAAAAACATTAAAAACTTCAAGTTCCTGAAAAGCAGGGAAACATCTAAATTCACACCTTTGTCATTACCTAGGCTAGAACTAAGGTGCTAAAATCTTGAGTGCTCCGAGCCTGGCCTGATGGCCTAAGCTGTAATTGCAGCACTCTAGGAGGCTGAGGCAGGAAGATCACAAGTTCGAGCCTACCTGAACAACCTTGTAGTGAGACCTTGTATCAAAATAATAAAAATCTGGGGATGTAGATCAATGTGATTGCCTTGGATTTAAAAAAAAAAATGCCGGAGACCTCATAATCCATACCTATGCTAAATTTGGTCCGAGGCAGCGTCTGTGTGGTTAGGATCCCAATGGGGCAGACAGTGTGGCTCCTTCGGAGTCCGCACAGCGAGCGGAGCCTCCTCGCAACTTCCACGGATGCTGCTCCAGGTTGCCGGATTCAGGAAAGGTCAAAGAAGGGTCTGGACGCCCCCTAGCGGGAGTTCTGGGACGGGTAGCACTAGTTCACTCCAAACCGAGAACCAGTGGTAATCGGCAGGCTCTAGCGAGCAGGGCCAGGGAGCGAAGACCGACCTTGCATCTTTTTCCTCCGGTTGTCTCCCTCCCTGCCCCTCGCCGAGGTCCTTCTAACAATAAGATCTGGTCCTGTCACCCGTGCTTCAGCGTCGGCGGTTCGCGACAATAGCCAGTGTCCGCAAGGTCCTCATAGCTCGGGCCAGGCAAGGGAAAGGCGTACGGTCTTCTTTCCCAGTTGAGACTGGCGTGGAGCCCAGAAGGACTCTCGGGATACCCCGCGGTCGGAGAAGGAGGGATTGGCTGCCGAGGGCTCGGCCTCCCGGGGCGTGTCCTGGAAGCCCCGCCCCTCGCCCTTGATGGAGAGTCGCAAGCGCTGAAGCGTCTGACAGTGACACGAGACGCCGTCAGTGCCCGCTGATCGCATCTCGTCGGGGTCCTACCATGCCTCGGGGAAGCCGCAGCGTGGCCGCCCGGCCAGCCAGGTGTGAGGAAGACGGGGTCCCGGAGGGCCGGGATTAGGGAAGTGTGGGTCTCCTCCCAGGACGTCCGTGGGGTGACCTTTGTTGCTATAGCGCCATCTTGGTGGGGGGAGGGGTGGAGTGCAGCAACCCCAATTCTAAGACGGAGGTCGCTCACATTCCCTGGGGGAGATGGGTCGTTTCCAGGCATGCCAAAGCCCTGGAGTCCGGCCAGGATTAATCCTGCTTCTTTCCACCTCTGCAGCCGCCCAGCCGCAACTTCTGCCCACCCTCCCGCGCACCCACCACCCTCAGCTGCAGCCCCGGCTCCAGCTCCGTCTGGCCAGCCAGGCCTCATGGCGCAGATGGCGTCCACTGCCGCTGGAGTGGCTGTGGGCTCGGCGGTGGGACATGTCATGGGCAGTGCCCTGACCGGAGCCTTCAGTGGAGGAAGCTCAGAGCCTGCCCCGCCTGCTGCCCAACAGGTGAGCAGCAGGTTGAGGACTCCTCAAGGCCACTGAAGTTTCCTGGTGTATTCCGAGTGCCCTCAGGGCAAGGACTTTGACTTGGAAGGGTGCTACGCCTCACTTTGCTGTTGGGCTTAGTGTCCGGAATTCCCTGGCAGGCTCTCTCTGCCTCTTCCTTGAGGCCAAGGCCCCAGGAACTGACACCAACCTGTCCTTTAAAGATGGTGAAACCATCTGGCTCCCGTGGCTCAGAGACTTGCCCAGGGCCACTTAACTTCAGTGGGAGAAAGGGATGTTGGCTTTCCCAAGACTTTGTTCTCACCCTTAGTTCTAGGATGTAGCTGCTGGGCCCAAGGGTGCAGGGTAGTGTGCAACCATGGTGCCTGTTCCATGATAACCTGTCCCTCCCTCAGTGGGGCCTTACCAGTCCTGAGCCAGATCCAAACGCTGCTTGGCAGCTGGGTCAGGGCCGTGAGAATCAGTGTGGCTGACCCAGGAAGGTGCTAGAACTTGTGGGGGTGGGGCGCATCCTCTTGAGACTACATGCAGAGTACAAAGTTTTCTAGAACCTGCAGCTGCCTAACGTGCCTATTTTGAGGAAAACCTGTCTGCTTCTGCTGAGTGGCTTTTTAAAAAATATTTATTTATTTATTTATTTGGTACAAGGTCTTGGTACACAGCTTGGACTCGTAGTGATCCTCCTTTCTCAGCCTCCCCAGCACTGGAATGATAGGCGTGTACCATCACACTGGCACTTCATGTGGTCCTGGGTATTGAGCCTGGGTCCTTGCACTTGCCAGGCAGGCGCTTAGACTGCCAAGCTATCTCCCCAGTCTCTGCTGAATGGCTTTGAGCAGGCTGATGGCCTTCACAGATGGAGCGCCCAGCTCATTCAACTTACCTTAGACCCTTGGGCATCCAGGCTGGGAAATTGGGGAGAGGCAGGCAGCCCTCAGCTTTGGAACCCACCTGTGGGTACTAACCCTAAGTGACCCTGCTGCTTCTTGAAATGTCCCTCTAGGCCCCTGTTCGTGCTGCCCCTCAGCACCTGCAGATGGGACCCTGCTCCTACGAGATCAAGCAGTTCCTGGACTGCTCTACCACTCAGAGCGACCTGTCCCTGTGTGAAGGTTTCAGTGAGGCCCTGAAGCAGTGCAAGTACAACCACGGTAAGCAAATAGACTCGGCCCCAGTGCAGTGGAGGGGGCAGACCCTCTTCTTGCATCTGCAGGGTGACCACCTGTGCACCCCATCCCCACAGGTCTGAGCTCTCTGCCCTGAAGAGGCCGCTTTGGACTCATGCGTCAGCTCTGACATGGCTCCCAGGCCATCGGTCTGCACCCATCCCATTCCCTCACCGACAGCTGGACCATGATGACAGACTGTACTTGGGATTAGAAGTAAGGATGAGGTTTCTTACCCCACAGATAACCCAAGACACAAGCATATAATTAAACTGTTTATTTTAGAACATAGCCCATTGTGTGCCTTCTTGCTGGCCTGTCTGCCAGGAGCACCGTAGGTGAGGTGGGTCAGGGTAACGGATGAATGGATGTCTCATTGTGATGGGCCGGGAGGAGCCCTGTTGTAATGTGCGCTGTGGCTACCCAAGGACAGACCACTTTGGGGAGTCCAAAGCGAGGTGATAAGGCATTGGCGGGTGACCAAGGGCATCTCACTCTGGAGACTGCAGCCCAGGCAGGAGCCCCTTATCTCTGCCTCTCAGGGGTACCTGCTCCTTCCACTCTTACTGTGTCTGCCTCCGGATCCCATTATCCTCACCCACATTTTGGCACTGCCCCCACCCCCGCCATGCCTCGCGTGTATGTGACCTTGCCCCTCTTGCTGATGCAACTTCTCAGTGACTCCAGATTCCGCAAGAGGACTCCTGCTGGGTTGCTGTCTGTTTGCACCTGATCATATGAGACAGAGGTCAGAGCCACCCCCTTGGATCTGAGTCCAGCTTGGCTACTTGGGCTGTTGTGTGCCAAGTCACAGGGCCTGCTGGAACAGAGGAGCAGGCCATTTGAACCCAGCACAGACTGCTTTCTCCAGCACTTTTTCCTGGTATTGGACATGGAACCCCGGGCCTTACATATGCTAGGCAAGTGCCCTATCACTGAGTTACATTCCCAGCTGTCACACACACACACACACACACACACACACACACACACGGTGATGCTAGGAATCTAATCCAGCCCCTTGTGCATGGTGGGCAAACATTGTGCTATGCACCGAGCCCCTATTGCGTCGTGTCCTTTTCTACATGTCAGTGCTGAGGACTCTCTTGCCCTAAGGGACTCACATTCCAGCAAGGTGGGACTCATCTCAAGGTACATGCCTTCTATCTGAGGGGTCTGTATGTGGAGTGGGTTGAGGATCTGCCACTGCACATATGTCTGGCCCTTGGGAAGGGATCCCACTTTAGCCTGTGTCTCTCTGGGCATCCATACCTTCCTCACACTGGGCTCCTGGCCCCAGCTAGCGGGTCTTGGATGTTAGTGAGCTCACTCTTTGGGACCTTCGAGTGCCTTGATCCTGCTGGCCACGCCGATTGCCCATGCGTCTCCTCCTGCTGTGGCCTGTGGCTGGGAGGCCTGACAGCCAGCACAGCTCCTCTGGAAAGCCCAGGAAGCCCTGTTGCTGGGGACTGGAGAGTGGATATGCCCTCCTCCTGGGACTCTGTGCTGACACTCACCTGCCAGCTCAGGATACCAGTCATCTAGGTTCTCCAGTAGGGACACATAACGGGTGGGGACTCCATCTTCTCCTGTGGATTGTGGAAAGGACAAAAAATCCCTGACTAGCCTGGTGGTTCCAATCCTACCCTCTACTCTGGAATTGTGCTGGCCTGGGCAAGGGAGACAGGACGGTACTGGGTGAGGCCAGGTTGGAACCTGGTCCTGGCCATGGTAGGGGACTGGGTAGGACTTGGGTTGCCTGGGACCTGCTGTCCTTCCCTTATATTTTATTGTCATTGCAGGGAGTCTTGGGCTCCACTCACTGATAACCTGCACAAGAACATAGGTCCCTCGCTCCTGCAGCAGGGAACTGCCCATGGAGGGGGCTGAGGAAGTCCCCTCCTCTGAGTCCTCACTCAGGTTGACCAGGTGGCCGTCTTCAGCCAAGAGGGCGATGGTTGCTGGAGGGCACGAAGAGAAGCTGGGCAGAGCTGGCACCCCTGCTTGGGGGCTCTCAGCTCCTTCCCATCTTACCTTCGGGGGGTACCTGCCCTTTATGCTTCAGGTGGGCAGTGAGGGTCACCAGGCTGCACCAGGGGTTGACCAGCTCCCTGTGGCCAGCTGAGGGGCAGAGGCAGAGGTGAGCAGGTGGCATCTCCTACTTTCCCTGCAGTCAAGGTCTTCTGCCTCCGCCTCCAGTTTTTCCCCTCCCTAGGGCTGTGACTGGGGCACAGTAGTCCAGGCAAAGTTTGTTTGAACTGTTTTCAAGACCTCTTCATCCAGCTCTCTCGAGTTGTGAATAATTAGGATTTATGACTGGGGCTCATGATTTAAATTACCCACACTGACCAGGACCGGCCATGCCCCAAGCACAAGCGTGGCCTACCTGCCCTACCCACTCGCCCAACCCCTAATCTGATCCCAGGACCAGACTGCCTTCTTTCAACTAACCCTGGCAACTCTGCCTGACACCTCTGGCACAGGGAATATGCAACTATAGCTTCAGGTATCTGATGCCAACTGAAGTTTGAGGACCACTGACTGGAAGGTGAAGAGATAGTACTGTTTTTAAAAAACTGAAGAAATGGCCTAGGATTCAGCCCACATATTCCCCTCAAGCTTTTGGCTTCAGGCTCTTGCTCATTTTCTTATAAACCTACCTCCCCCAAACCCCATCCCTGCCCTCTCTGTAACTCCTTCCTGCTACTGCCTCCTCACCTCCTCCTGGAAGAGAAAGGCACACCTCAGAGTGTGTCCCTCCCTTCCCCGCCTTTGGGGACAAGGGACCCCACTTACCTCCAAACATCACGGTGATAAACATGGCTGCAGCAGTAAGGAGGAGACAGCTGGAGGGGGATTTGATCCTCCACCTCCGGACTCCCCAGCTTGAAAGGGTCTGGCCTGAGATTTACTCCAGGGTGGGGTCCCGTTGGGGAGATGGGAACATGTGAAAGTCAGATGGTCTTATGCCTGGGTCCCAGCTCAACCACTTGCTCAGCTAGTCCTAGACCTCCTGCCGCTAGCTCCCCCTAGCTCCTAAGCTGTCTCCATGGCAGTGGGAGCCGCTAAAAGGGCTGGCCAGGAAATGCCTTACCCTCAGTGTCTGGGTAACAGAAGCTGACGGGGCGGCGCGGGCATTCCCTAGGCAGTGCTCTAGTCAGGATCCTAGTGGGAGCTCTAAGCTGGGGGTCCAGGGATGTTCAAGGTGCTGACCTGGGAGCTTACATTCCTCACCAGAAAGACAGAGCTCCCAGCCTGAAAGAGGTGGCAGGTTCGTGTCCTTACCAACTTCAGCAGACTCTCCACCACCCAGGGACTCCCCCGTGCTGGCTTTCTTTCCCTCTCTGCCATTCTCTTCTCTCCTTGCCTTCCACTCTTCCATCACAAGAAAAACATCTTGTCAAGTTTATCAAGGTATAAATTGCACACATTAAAATTTTCTCTTTTCTCTCTGTATCCTCCCCCAAATAAAACTGCTCTTTTCAATAACTTGAAGGGTTTTTTTTGTTTGTTTTTGAGATACTAAGGACTGAATCTACCTCCGCACTGAACTATATCTCCAGCCTATTTATTTACTTATTTATTTATAGGTGGGTTTGATAAATTAGCAGGTAACACTCGAACTTGTGATTCTTTAACTCAGATTCCTAGACTGCTGGAATTACAGACCTGGGTTGCTACGCCCAGCTTGGTGTTTTCTCTTTCTTTCTTTCTTTCTTTCTTTCTTTCTTTCTTTCTTTCTTTCTTTCTTTCTTTCTTTCTTTCTTTCTTCTTTCCCCAGTTTGATTTTGAGTTTTGACAGATTTCAATATAACCAATCACCATAGTGAGGCTCCAGAACATTTGGACTACCACTCCCACCAAATTCCTTTATACCTTTGTAGTTAAATCAAAATGGAGGCACTTTTGTCAAGTTCTAATCAACCCTCCCCAAAACAAATAAAGCTGGGAGGTCAGAGAAGAAAGAAAACCTCTACATGTATATCTGACAATAATAGTTATGCACAACACCCCTGCCGGAACCACAGTCTTGTTCAAAGGCCACCACAAGCTCGCACAGCAATGCCTCTGTGAGCACAGCTGCCTGGTGACTGTGTGTTTAGTCTTGAACTGATGCCACGCTTGTTACTGACACTTGTAGCCGAGGATGATTGCTGCAAAAATACTTTAAGGTATCCATTTCACCTTTCAAAACTTCCTTTTGGGGGCCCATCAGATAGCTCAGCGGACTAAAGTGCCTGCTTAGGAAGAGCACAGCGTCTGGGGTTCGATTCCCTGCTGGTCCTGCCCTCTGGGCGCGCTGGGACAAAGCAAAAGAGACTGGGCGCGGTGGCAAGAGCCTGTAATCCCAACACTGGGAAGGCTGAAAACAGGAGGATCACTATGAGTATGAGTGAGACTTTATAGACCCTGTACGAAAAAAAAACTTCCCTTTGGTTCAGCCTCCTTGGATACACTCCTAGGTTGCTTAGGTGTATGTATATTCCTTTAGGAACGTTACTTTATCCCCAAATAAATTTGTCTCTAGAAAATCTCTCTTGAGTTGTTACATAGGCTCACGTAGCTCTTATTGCTGGTGTCCACTGCTCTTTTTTCTGTGCCTGCCTTTTCCAGAATGTCATATAAATGGAACCACATACTATGGAGCTTGTTGGGTATGGCTTCTCTCATTTAGCATGATACATTTCAAGTTCGGTGTACAAATGGTTTCCTTCCTATCGATGAGGGGTGTCTCATTGTCCAGATGTACTACAGCTTGTCAATTTATCCATCTGCTGTTGTTTTGGGTTTTGGAGATAGCGAATAAAGCCTGCACAGATATTTGCCTGCAGAAAGCACAGGCTTTAATTCCTCTAGTAAGTTTTCTAGGGATTGCCAGGTCATCTAGTGAGTGTATGTTTAGTTTTATGAGAAACTGCCAAACACAAACATGTATTTTCCAACATGCCCTCACCATTTTGCATTGTATTGCTGTCTCGTGGATCCACAGTGTGTCACAAGCACATTTTTTTGTTGTTAGTTTTCACTACTATCAGCTTTTTCTTCTTCCAGTATTGCGGCTTGAACCCAGAACCACAAGCATACTAAGCATGTGTTCTACCATTAAGCTATACTACCAGCCTTCTCATCAGCTCTTGCCATCATTTCTTGTCTCCTACTTTTTTTTTTTTTTTTTTTTTTGTATTTTAGGGAAGGGTCTACAGGGTGTTCAGGGTCTCACTACTAGGTTGGACTCAGTAATCTACATGTTTATAGCCTCCCAAGAGCTGGGATTACAGGCATGTGCTTTAATCTGCTGAGCTATTTGGCAGCCCTCCTATGTTTATCTGTCCTTCTTTGTCCCCTTTTAACTTCTCTTTGTTCTCACACTTAACCTTACTCTCTGCTTCTTTATGTACTCATCCTTAGACTTTTTTCTCTGTCTCTTCATCCTTCTTTTCCTCCTTGCCTACTGCCTCTCCTCTCTCTCTGCGCTCTGTCTCCTGCCCTACCTTCCCATGATCCTCTACTAGACTCTTCCAGCCAGAGTATCAGGCAGATAGCCTCCTGCTTAGGCTATATATCTTGACATCCACAGGACAGCAAGGCAGGAGGAAGTGGGTCTTCTCTGTGGCTTACCAGTACACTGATTCTGGTGGTGGGTGAGCGCTTTCTCTTGGATGACATCAGTGTTTCCATTGGGTAAGTGGAGGTACACACCATGGGGCGCTTCTCTGGGGACCCAGACCTACACAGCACAGCTCAGGAAGCCCTGAGTATGAAGACTCCAGTACTTGTAGTCAGACTCGAGAAGGAAAGGCCGCCCCAGGCCTGGGGCCACCGTGCTGAGAGTCAGCACTGCTGTCCAAGGAGTTCATCTTTGTGTGCCATGGAGATCCTTAACGAGGTCTTGGGGATGGAGAGGGGGCTGTGGAAGGGCTTTATAACCTCCCCCAAGGCAGTGCTGGAAGCTTTCTTTGAGTTAATAAAAGCATATTGGTTGGTTGCTTTTTTTTTTTAATTTTAGAAATCATTTATCATTGGTCATTACACCTTTACCAGAACAAGTATAATTTAAAGAAATTATACAAGCCACTTCTTCTCATGCTTTAATATTTGGCGATGTTGTTTAGCTAAAATAGTTCATTTGTAAAGCCCACCTTTAGTTACATAGAAGAATCAGAAACTTTATCAGAATTAGAACCTTTTACAAATGTTCTAAGAATTCTTAAGCTGCACTAAAATTAGAAAAACACTAATTTTAATCTGCTCTAGAAATGATCACGGAAAGTATAGCTTTTAAAACATTTGGTAGTTTCTGTGGTTTTTGTATTAAGTGGTGTCATTATAGGAAACCCAACTAAAACTTGATCACATTATGCACTATAAAATAAATGCAAAAATAGGGGGCCAGGGAGATGGCTCAGTGGAATAAGCGCTTCCCTGGCAAGCGCAAGGGCCTGAGTTCAATCCCTGGTTCTGCCAAAAAAAGGCAAAAGTAATCACCTTTTAACAAAAATTGTCTATGAAATAATTCCAAGTATTAAATATATGATTTAGTGGTTGTCTGCCACAAAACATGAAACAGAATACATTCACTGGATTGTTTTTCACTTTTACTTAGTTTTAATAAGGGTCTACAGGGTCTCAGGGTCTCACTACGTAAATTGGACTCATAGTGATTAGCCTGTGTTCAGCCTCCCAAGAGCTGGCATTACAGGCGCATGCCACCATGCCTAATCTCAATTGCCATCTCAGTGTACCCCTAGGGCAGAGCCGGGGATCAAACCCCAGCCACTGTGTCTGCCTAAGCAGGCACTTTCAAATGATGTAAACCTATTCATGAAAAAAAAAAAAAAAAAAGGTGTTTGTGACCACAAGGAGCTACAAAGTAATTATACTCAAATAACCTGACATAGCCTTAGCAATTATAAAACCATGATTCCAACATGTGACAATTTATGTTAAGTAATTGTAAAACACTAAAAGCCGTGAACAACTATTTCTGTGCTTAAGTATTAAGTGTTCTGTTTAAGAGTGCTCCACTTGAGTAGCTATTTTTTCAGTTAATATAACCAGTCTGCAGTAAATAATAAAGTACAAATCCAAGGAAAACAATACCTTTACTAAGGTACAAAACTTCCGGCAAACCCATAGAGTATTCTTCAAATACTACATAACAAGCTGGGTATGGTGGTACACACTTGTAATTCCAGCACTTAAGAGGCCAAGGTAGAAGGATCGCCATGAGTCTGAGGCCAGTCTGGACTACATAGTGAGTTCAAGCCCAGCCTGAACTACATAGCAAGATCCTGTCTCAAAAAAGAAAGCAACAACAAAAAGCTCCAAAAACCCCACCAAAATAAACACAGTAATACAGTATTTCTGTTGGAGTCACATGTTGCTAACTGATTTTCATTCCAAAAATATTTAGCATGAAATATTTTGGTATTTCCATACAAAAAAAACCCAATCCAAAACACTGTTATTTTTAGCAGAACAAGTTATTTTATACAAATTAATGTCTTTTACAACCAGACAATTTCTCCTTTTAAAGTGAGTTCCCCCCTCGTGCGCTCTACTCTAATTTATTTTATTTTAAATCTTTTATTTACTTATTTATTTGGCACAGGGTCTTGCTATGCAGCCTGGACTCATAGTGATCCTCTTGTCTCAGCCTCCCCAGCCCTGGGATTACAGGCATGCGCCAGGTTTGGGTGGCCTGCACGGTATGCCCAAGGTTCCAGGGCAGGCAGAGTATACGGTACCAGGGATCGAACTGGGTTTTTGCACTTGCCAGGGAGGTGCCAAGCTACCTCCCTAGCCCACTACTCTAATTTACAGCATCAAGGCAACTATGTATATGGAAGGGATGAATCTGTCTGCTTTGGTCTGGAGCTTGGTCTAAAGCCGGGTACAGTTCCAATGTCCAAAAAGCTTTAACATCCTACCTTAAGAAGATTCAGGGTTGGGCCAGCCAGATAGCTAAGCAGACTAAAGAGCCTGCTTAGGCAGAGCACAGCAGCGAACAGGAGGGTTTATCCCCAACGTGCAGTGCCGACCCTGCACCCGGGTTGCCCTGAGACGGTGATTGAGACCAGGTGTGGTGGTGAGCCTGTAATCCCAGCGCTTGGGAGGCTGAAAGGAGGAGGATAACTACAAGTCTAATCTGTGTAGCAAGACCCTGTAAAGTACTTTTTAAAATGTTAAGTCATTATACTATATAGGCAGCTAAGTTAGGTAGAAATACAGGCAGTTAAGAGCTGGAGATACAGCTCAGTGACATAAGTGCGTACCTGGCAAGTACAAAGTCCCAAGTTTGATCCCTGGCATCTTGGAAACAAAACAAAAACAAAACAACAAAAAAGAAAAGAAAAGAAACATATGCAGTCAGACAGGGTTAGGTCCTCAAGGGAGTCAAAGCACAGCATGAGAATATATCACAATGGGCGCTATAAGCACGTCTTCAACAGACTGTCGAAGCTGTTACTCCAGGTGTTAAAAAATTCCTACCTGAAAGACAATGCTATGATTATTTCTTTGGTATGGGGGATCAAACTCAAGACCTTGTGCTTCTGGGGCAGGCACTTATGCCAATGAGATATCTCCTTGGCCCTACTGTTCTATTTTTATTTTTATTTTTTTTTTCAGTACTAGGGATTGAACTTGGGATCTTGAACTTGTCAGGCAGGTACTCATGCCACTGAGCCATATCTCCATCCCCCAGAGAGGGGGTCTCACTCCCCAGCTCAGACTCATAGTGATCTTTCTTTCAGCCTCCCCAGCTCTGGAATGACAGGTGTGTACCACCATGCACGGTTTTGGTGGCCCACTGGACTGGCTTGGGTGGGGCTGGCACAGGCACATGGTAGGGGGATTGAACCAGGTCCTTGCGCTTGCCAGGCAGGTGCTTAGACTGCTGAGCTACCTCCCTGGAACCTCAATAGTTGTATTTAAAAAATAAAAGATAAATACATTGTCAGCTAGAAGAGGCCTGGGGGGACCTGCTGTTGCATAACAAATTTATCATGTTTTCACAAAGGCTGCCACGGCATCCACCCGTATGCTTTCTCCTGCTGAAGCTGTTCTTCACACTCAGCACTTAATTTGTGTACTACTCGTTCCACTGCTTCTCAGCCTTCGTTAGCATTTCAAGTAATCATGATTGCTGTAAGTCCTTCTAGGTGATGCTGAGGCTCACTCCTTTCACTGTGAATACAGCTTTCTGTTTCGAAACAATTTTTTTCTGGGTTCTGAGGATGTAGCTTAAATATAAATCTCTCATCTATTGAAATCGTATTTGTAGATGAAATACTGGTTTCAGGTTCCAGTGCTTTCTCCTGACTACAATGTTGGTAGGCGATGAATCTGGAGAGTGGTCCCATATGCGACGGCAGGACGCAGCCACAGCGGCTGAAGCAGTCAAGCTACCTCCGTCTTGAGAAGAGCCTCCTGCCTGGACAACTGCAGCCATTAGTCATGTATCTCCTGATGCCACACCTTTGCAAAGGTAGAGATAAATGCCCCTATTGTTATTGTTGAAATCCTTTGCTCATCAGGTATCGAGGCCTCCACCTGAATCCAGCTATTGTCTCCTGTCTATCTTTTCCTCATTCCTGCTGCTGTTTCTGCCTGGGCTACATCAAGGGACCAGTGAGTCCCCAAGCTACACAGCACTTTTGCACATATGTTTTGGTTCTTCTTGCACCAATAATAGACATCATAGTGACAGGCAGCTCCTCCCAGTGAGGACAAGTCTGTAGCTGTGCCAGTTTCCAGAGGGACTTTTCTAGCAGCAGTTACAGGTTTTGTACATTTCTTTTTTTTTTTTTTT